GCCTACTCTTATTTAAGGAGGAGACGCACAAAAAGAGGATATTTCCCCTTCCTATGCAACTCCTCTACTTGCCCTTCACATCCTCTCCCTATAAAAAAAGGGTGGTAAAGAAAAAGGAACTTAAATTAGGCCTTGTTGGACGGTTACTCTTCTCCGTCCGGGGCTCTGGAGGTGTGGGGCTATTGAAACACTTTCTTCTAGTTAATCATCATTATATTTAAAATATCTGAACCATTATATTTATACAAAGTCTATAGTCATACACTACGTACATACGTCGTACATGGCGAGATGTAAAATCTAAATATATAAAACATCAAATATACAATTCTTTATAATTTAAAATAAATTATTCTAATAGTAAAAAACATCCTCTGTGTTTACAGTGTTGCCTGCCAGTATACAAACATATAAAAACCTCCATCCTCCAACAGGCCTCTTTATGTACTTTTAATGTTTATTAGAAGGTATAGGTTATTTGTCTTATATTCTCATCAGGTCCAGGATTTTGTTTTCAAAGGGCACACAGGGTCAGTAGACCAGTTGTGTTGGCATGCCTCGCATGCGGACCTCCTCAGCACAGCCAGTGGAGACAAATCAGTCAGGATATGGGATACAAGGTAAATGCTTATTAAATATTTAGTTCATAATCAATAATACATTTTTTAATTGTATTTTTAGTCTTCAAATTCTTTGTAATAAACATTTAAAATTAATTATACTCTCAAGAACTTACTAATTATTTTATTTATACTTTTATACTATTATAATAAACCATAAACACACACTTCTTTGTTGCCTAAGATGTCAGCAATTACAGCATATATTTGAATAATTCTTCTTTTAATAAAAAGCCCTACACTTACGTCACGCTTTAGGCTATATATTTTCACGCCATTAAACTTAGGGGGTAAATATTTTGGATGAAAACCCCAATGTGGGAAAGAGACCATAAGTTGCTGCCAACATCAAGGAAGCAACATTGCCATAGTAAGGTAATTGGTATTTTGTCATTTGCAATTGAGAATTTGACAAATGCAAACAATACATTTATAATATCATGCGGATGATGCCGCACGCAAACATCTAGTAATAGTATAAAAGGAAAGAAAATGGACTATTCATTTTAAAATTCATCATTTTCCTTCTTCATTGTTAAATAATTATTAACTTCCCTGTTATATTTTGCAGATCACACAAATGTGCCGCCAGTATATCAACAAAGGGAGAGAATATAAACATAGCATGGTCTCCCAACGGCAGCACTATAGCTGTAGGCAATAAGGAGGATCTTGTCTCATTTATAGATACACGCACATACAAAGTAGTGAGTATTATATAATACTAGTTGTTACTTGTGTCTACGCCCACATGGAATAAAAAAGTAAAATAATAGCCTATGTTACTCATTGATAACATAGCTGCAAAGGTACAAGAAATAAATCGGCCCAGTATTTTTTGAGTTATTTCAATACATACAAAAATACAAAAATACATATCTTTCCACTTTATAATATTAAGATTGCCAGCAGACTGGGTTGCAGATATATTAATCACTGCATAAAGCTGCATGTGGTAGCAGATGATTGTACATTTTAGAATAATATTGTATGTGTGACTAACAGGTATTAAGATTTTTCTGTTACTAACTATGAGCAAAAAAAAACAAAAGTGAGTAGCCTATGTGTTCTTCTAGACTATCCTCCACATATGTACCAAATTTCATTGAAACCTGTTCAGCCATTTAGGCTACAAACTCTAACAAACATCCATCCATCTAAACTTTCGCATTTATAATATTAGTAAGAGTAGTAAGAAGTAAGAATAGTATATATTGGTAACCTAACAGTGGTAGAGCCCGCTTTAACATCTTCGCACGAATGGGTCGGCTCGCCCGGTGCAATACAACGACCACACAGAAAACAGGCGTGAAGTAGAAGCAATTGCGCGTTTTGTCTGATAAGTGTGGTGCCGGAGGCCTGATTTTAGTCCCTTTCCTTTTCCACCCTTTTCTTAAGAGGAAAGAATGGAGAAGTGGATTTGATGGTGGAGAAGACGCATAGGAAGGGAAAATGTCCTCTTTATGTGCGTCTCCTACGTCAATGAAGGGTAGGCAACGCTGCAATTGCAGATGTCTATGGGCAGCGGTTGCTTTCCATTTCGGTGGATTCAGGTAGCCGCTTGCTCGTTTGCTATCTTATGTTATAAAAAAAAGATGATTTTGTTCATATCAACATATTTAATTTCAACAACTACAATACTGACTACTGTCAGAATGGCGCACTATACTATTGTCTTAATGACATTGACAGCTGTCAGATAGGGACGGGACATCTAAGCCGATGTTCTAGTGTTGCCCAATTTTCTTAACAGTATATTAGTTAAAAAGGTACTTATTTATGTACCAAATAAAAAAATAGCTAAAAGCTTATTTAGTGTGAACTGTCTTAACAGTCAATAGTTTGGGTTTGTAAGTCAAATTAAAAATTATTTAAACAGTAGAACATTGATAAGTTAAAGTCCAACGAACACAAAATATTTTGAGTTATCAAGGGTCTATGTTGGTTTTGGGCTTTGATGGGTAGGTAACATTGTTTTTTGAAGTTATAGAGGTTTTTAAGTTACAGAGGTTTGAGTTATCGAGGTTATTCTGTATTTGTATTTTTTCCTCATATCCTATGTTTCAGGTAACGGAAGAGCAGTTTAACTTTGAAGTGAATGAAATATCTTGGAATAATGATTCAGACCTGTTCTACCTCACCAATGGACTGGGCTGTGTACATATTATGACGTAAGTTTTAGAATTGAGAATGTTCTATTTAAGAAAATATAAGAAACAAACTAGCTTTTACCCGTGACTGTTCGCGTGGAATTAAAAAAAAACAAAATCAAGTAGTCTATGTGTTCTTCATGTCAAATTTTTAACATCCATCCATCCATCTAAACTTTCGCCTTTATATTAGTAAGATCAAAGAGGAATAAAAAAAACGTCTTATGCTGTTGACCCTTTTTAAACAATTTTACCTTTATAAAGCTGTATAGACTTATTCAAATATAGATATGTTCCACAAGTTTCCGAAATAATCATACTAATATTATAAATGCGAAAGTTTAGATGGATGTTTGTTACAGTTTGTAGCCTAAACTGTTGAACAGATTTCGATAAATTTTGGTAAAAATGTAGAGGATAGTCTGGAAGAACACTTAAGCTAATCACTTTTGTTTTTTTAATTCTAAGCAGACGGAGTCGCGGGCGACAGCTAGTAGATAATTGTAATTGTTAGACAAATAGTTGAATACGACTATAGAAGCAAAATATTTAACATTTATTGTAATATTTGGTCGATACATGTGTAAATATAATTTCTCATTTCAATATACTGTATTCAAATTTAAAATGGGTACCATATTTAATTCTTTGACTACACACTTGTTTTTCCATTGTTTCAAGTGAGCTTAAGTTATTTTGATGAATTAAATGTTGTTTCTCAGGTATCCCGGTCTGCAGCTCCAGACGGTACTGAAAGCACACCCAGGCACATGTATCTGTATAGAGCATGACCCCACCGGCAGATACTTTGCCACGGGCTCCGCTGATGCACTTGTCTCCTTGTGGCATGTGCAGGAGTTGGCCTGTTTGAGAGTCTTCTCTAGGTAAGTGTTTAATTATAGTTAGTAAAGTTATACTTCACTCTAGAATTTATAAATGTTACTTATATTATGAATTAGCTATTCTCGGTTTTATCTAAATAAATCTATACTGCTATACTAATATCATCATCATCATCATCACCAGCTCACTATAGGTCCCCACCGAGGGGCTCGGAGCCTACCCTAATAAGGGGTGACTAGGACATAGTCAACCTGTACTGCGGGTTGACTTCACACATATCTTTGAATTTCTTCGCAGATATGTGCAGGCATCCACGATGTTTTCCTTCACCGTAACAACGTCGGGTAAATTATGTACATATGAAAATTCGAAAAATATAAAATCACATTGGTACAGCGGGATTCGAACCCAAGACCTGTAGATTACAAGTCAAGTGCTTAAACCACTGAGCCACTGACGCTCTTTTAATAAAGCGTAAACACACACTACTTCGTGGCGTAGGATGTCAGCAATCACAGCATGTTTTTGAATAACTCTTTCTTTACGACACGCTTTAGGCTATACATTTTCGCGCTATTAAACTAAGGGGTAAATAAATTGGATAAAACCCATCGTGTGGGAAAGGGACCCTATACTACAAGCTGCCATCATTAAGGAAGCAAGGTTATTATGGTAACGGTCATTTTGACATTTGCAATCGAGAATTTGACAGATGTAAACAATAAAATGGTGTTTTTACAAGTTAAAGGCTATGTAGGACTTTTTATAAATAAAAGTATTATTCAAAAATATTGTGTGATGTTTTATCCTACACGAGCTTTCGCCCGCGACTCCGTTCGCGCGGAATTAAAAAAAACAAAAGTGAGTAGCCTATGTGTTCTTCCAGACTATCCTCTACATCTATACCAAATTTCATTGAGATCCGTTCAGCAGTTTGGGCTGGAAACTTTAACAAACATCCATCCATCTAAACTTTCGCTTTTATAATATTAGTAAGATAACTAAGTATATGTTTACTATTTACTATATTAGTATAGTTCACAAGCATTACAAAAAAACATTTTGGTAATACTAAAATGTAACAATCACTTGGATTTGATTTGCTAAAATAAATAAGCGTCTAATAATAAAAGAGCGTCGGTGGCTCAGTGGTTTAAGCACTTGACTTGTAATCTACAGGTCTTGGGTTCGAATCCCGCTGTACCAATGTGATTTTAGATTTTTCGAATTTTCATATGTACATAATTTACGCGACGTTCTTAAAGTGAAGGAAAACATCGTGATGCCTGCACATATCTGCGAAGAAATTCAAAGATATGTGTGAAGTCAACCAACCCGCAGTAGGCCAGCGTGGTTGACTATGGCCTAGTCACCCCTTATAAGGGTAGGCTTCGAGCCCCTCGGTGGGGACGTATAGTGAGCTGGTGATGATGATGATGAAAATAAATAAAATCAATTGTCTAGTGTATAGACTTTGTATTAGAAAGTGGATATTTCCTCTTTTAAACACAAATATAAAATTATTGTGTGTTTTAACTATTATTGAATAAAATAATATTTGTAGGTTAGAATGGCCTGTGCGTACTTTGTCGTTCAGTTTTGACGGACGTCTGCTCGCCTCCGCCAGCGAGGACCATGTCATAGATATTGGAGACACCGAGACAGGTAAAAACATTTTTATATAAAAACTATTCTTAAACTTTTATTTTAATTAAATGCTACTGTTTTTTAATTTGATATTTAATGAAAATCATTGTCTCTTTGAAATTCATGTTAAAATTAGGTCGTGTGAAGAGGAAATATTTTTATTTTTCTATGTAACCATTAAACTCTAAAACTATTCTACTGGTTTCAAAAATTCTTTCACCATTAGAAAGTTACATTATTACAGATTGATATAATATATATTCATTATTTTAAAACAATTAATATAATTGTAAATAGCGATATTAATTTTATATTTAGAAAATTGCGAGCAGTTGCCGATCATGACCTACTAATCAAAACATACAATGCCCTCTGCCACTGCTTGATTAACTATTGTGTTTGTTCTTGGGGTGGAGCCTCGAAAACTTGTATTCTAGAGGCAGAACGAGCCCAACGGTCACTATTAAAGGTTATGTTCAAACTGCCCTTTAAATATCCTACCTACGAACTGTACAGAAAATGTAAGATCTTGAGTGTTCGAAAAACATTCATATTTGAATGCATCAAGTCCCTACATAAAAACCAAATCAGTATAACATCCACGCAAAGCAAGAGAATACATAGATTTAATTTGCCAGCATTTAAAAGTTCACTTGCCATAAAACATTATAAATATCTTGCCCCCTACCTATATAATATTTTAGACAAAAAATCAAAAATTAGGAACCTGAAAGCATATCATTTACGAATAGTTACAAGGAAATGGCTAGAGGAGATGGATTATAAGACCTGTGAAAATCTATTTCAAAATAATTTCTAAAGTAACACACACACACAACCATACAACATGCAGAGGCCATTATATTCAACAAGCACATACATAACACACAATCACACGTGCACACACACACGCACACACACCTACACACACACACACACACACACACACCCACACACACACACACACACACACACACACACACAAATCATTCATCATACACGCGGGAAAGAAGAGGGAAAAAAAACCATCTAATTGTTAATTATAATTGTTTTATTCGAAAATGTTCACACCTTAAATTTTCTTGTACCTTTTTTCAATGTTTTAAAATAACTCATTAATTGTAATGTATTTTTTTTGTTTTCTTTGTGTAGATATTA